ATTTCAGGTTGTGCCTAAGCTAACCAGTCTGTTTTATCTTGGAAGCCACTGGCACAGCAGAGCACTAGGGCATATGTACATAAAAGATATTAGTAAGCACAGGTAGTAAAAACTTGATTCCAAACTTTAGTGAATCTGAAAATGAAGACAAGAACGATCTATAAAAAACAAGCAGATCCTCAAGTCATATTTTAGGGAGTTGTTCTACTGGTAGGCTTGCTATTTCTCTAGAATTATCAAACCTACTCATGTCCAGTACTGTCTTTTCTAAGGCCAGAACTGAGGAGGAGAATGGAAAGGAGGGAGGTTACAAGTGTGAAGAACAAAAATAATAATCATGGCTTACACTGGAGCTGAAGATAGAAAAATTTTACATGGATTGTCATTTAATCCTCACAAGAAAAGTGTTTGAGGTAGGCAGCCTAAGCTGTCAGAGAATTACTTTAACTCAGTCCCAATAATAGGATAACTCTTCATGGTTGAAAAGTCAGAGTCCTCTGTGCTTCTCTTTGAAATTGCCTGAATTCATTGAATCAGAGGGATGATATCAAGTTTCATGACCAACTGACTTTCTGTAAATGTATACATGTTAAAGATGACTTATCAAGGAGTATAAATACTAATTATTCATCTGGGTTTCCTAATTTCCAGATGAATTAACCTGAGGCTCAGATTACAGGGATTTACTAAAATCATGGTACTAGAGATGCCTCACACTGAGGCTACCTTCACTTCCTCACACACCATGACCTTATTGCGGAGAAGGAAGCCATGGGCCATTCCTCCGGTTTCTAACAGCCCTATTTCCACACGTGGCTCCCTCCATACAAAGAGGCTTTGGAATCTATGTCAATACATTAGGTTTATAGGACTAGATATAATCCCCCAAGTAGCACACTGTACCGCAACGAATTTCCTCTAAAACTCACCACAAGGCCTCCAAAGACTGACATGACCAACTTCCAAATCCTCCGAACAGTTAGATTTGAATGACCTAAATACGCATGCACAAATTAAAACAGATTCATAATTTACCATTAATTCCCAACACTGAATCTATTCTTTTTTAAATAATGAACTAATTCATTCATATTTAATGTCCGATATCTGATAAAGAAACATTATGAAAAGAAGGTGAGCTTTAAGGAAAGATAAAAATACAGGAATGCCAAATGGAAGGAGAGGAAAAGAGAGAGAAGAGACTAGGTAAGGCGAGGGTGATCACTTAGAAGATGCAGAGGGAGTCAAACAAAGGGATTCCAAGTTTGGTCAATCCACCTGAAAGAGTCTCTCCTGACCTCTAAAGTCTGCTGAAATGAAGCCTACCAATGATTACTGCATATGATATGCATATGATGCCTCTCGGTGATATTCTCCCTCCTGGTCTCCGTAACTCATTACTGCACAATTAAGATGCAAATTCTCTGAACTAGGATGGTGGCTTTCTGTTCCATTAGTATTTCACCAAACTGCTCACAAGCATGTTCTCCTTCTCATCACACGGTTAACCAGTGACACACAACACTGAATGACAAAGATCCTGTTTAGCAAAAGCATTACAGTTTGTTCTGCAAATGACATACTGTCATTCGGCTACACGATTAGCTCGTGGTTTTCATTTTGTGGGTATTTGGCATTGTGTTTTGTTTCTTTGGACAGCAGGTACTAAATGCACAGCCCAAACAGTTAAATTATCACGAAAGCCTTCACTGCTGGACCAAGGGATATCCTAAATTATTTATAAATGGCACTTTCTTGGGGCGCCTGGGTGGCTCAGTTGGTTGAACATTCAATTTTGGCTCAGGTCATGATCTCACAGCTTGTGAGTTTGAGTCCTGCATCAGGCTCTGTGCTGACTGCTCAGAGCCTGGGGCCTGCTTCGGACTGTGTGTCGCTCTCTTGCTCTGACTCTCCTCAGCTCATGCTCTGTGTCTCTCTCTCAAGAATAAATAAAACATTAGACAAAAGTTTTAATAAAAAAATAAAAATAAAAATAGCACTTTCTTATCAAAGCCCCATAAACAATTAGAAACTTCAGACAACATGGAGTTATTTATTAACAAGAACAGCTATTATGGGGAAAATAATGAATAATAAGGTCAAATTTATCAAGCGAATCCTAATTTTTAACCCTGGTTTTCTTTCTGCTTTCCACGTGTTAAGAAAATACAAATTAGGGATCTGGAAACACAGTAACTCAAAAATGTTATTCCTCTGGTTAAGACTCATGCCATAATGTCACTGACTACACTTCCAGTTGGGGCCAAAAAGAGCCTCCTAAATGTCCCCTTCTGGCAAAGCCAGGTAAACAAGCAGGAATGTCAGCCTAACGATGGCAGGATTGCTGTCCTGTTCTAAGTACAAATCCTGCCAATTGCTTTATTTTCAAGTGGTCACTGCCATGTTTAAGTTATAATGGCATCTTCTCAATGAGCACATTTTCCTATTATTGGAATTGGCAGGGGGCCTTGACATGGGAGTCATTATTTCATTATATCTATTCCTCACCCTGGTATACAAATTAAATAGAAATACAAGCCAGATGAAATGGGGGGGGGGGGGAATCTGAAGCAATAACTATAAATTGAATTAATTTTTCTCAAATCTACAAATATATAAAGCACTTAACATTGGTAATAATATATTCGACTTCAGGCACATTGCCAAAAATATAACTTCAATTTTAAAGGCCAAAACTGCTCACACCCTTCTAGCCAAACACTTCACTTCTGTAAAACAGAACTGACAGTTTTAATATTCTCTAAATTAAAAGGACAGAATAATTCCAATTTTAAATCAACTACAAATAGAGACAAAAACATACACTAAACAACTTCCCTCTCTTGCAAAGAGCTTCAAGAAGGGATAGCAATCAGGGCACCTGGGTGGCTCAGTTGGTTAAGCATCTGACTTCAGCTCAGATTATGATCTCATGGCTCATGGGTTCGAGCCCTGCATTGGGCTCTGTGGTGACAGCTCAGAGCCTGGACCCTGTTTCAGATTGTGTGTGTGTCTCTCTCTCTACCCTCCCCAACTCGTGCTCTGTCTCTCTTTGTCTCAAAATTAAAGGGAAAAAAAATTTTTAATTAAAAATAAAAAAGAAGGGATAGCAATCACTGAACATATAAATACATATAATAAATATGTGAAAAATATTATTTAAAACACCATGTGTAATCAAACAGAAATAACAACAATTCATTCAGACTAAAATATCAAAGTGTGCCAAGCTGGAACTTTCAGGTTTATCCTTAGATGCTTTCGAATCACTGGGGTGCCTGGGTCTGACTTCGAAGTGTCTGACTTCGGCTCAGGTCATGACCTCATGGTTCATGGGTTCGAGCCCCATGTCGGGCTCTGTGCTGACAGCTAGCTCAGAGCTTGGAGCCTGTTTCAGATTCTGTGTCCCCGCCTCTCTCTCTGACCCTCCCCTGCTCACGCTGTCTCTCAGAAATAAATAAAACATTAAAATAAATAAATAAATAAATAAATGCATGCTTTCACATCACTGAATCTAAATAATGAAAACAACACTGTATGAGTTTCCTAAATCACAGGATCCAGTCATCCTGAATAAATGGGCATCATTCCCTGTTTCTCAAGAATTTTATTTAAAATATTTCCATTGAATTTCAAAATTATAAAAAGCAGTTCTAAAACAAATGCTACCGAAAATCCTCAAAAATGTCTTTGGCTCTGTTTTCAGAGGGCTAGTCCCTCATTTACTTATCATGGCAGGCCTGCCAGAATGCATGAGTACTCATTCACTGAGTTTTTAATCATCTCTACAACTCATCTTTCCTTTAGCCTAGAGCAGCCTGTTCATTTCCAAAAGCCAACAGCTTTCCCTAAAATGCCTGTGAACGAGCTGAATCATCTAGAGGAACTTTACTTCTTCTTAATCTTTTTTTAACACTTTATTTTTGAGAGACAGAGCAAGAGTGGGGGAGGGGCCAGAGAAAGATGGAGACAGAATCTGAAGCAGGCTCCAGACTCTGAGCTGTCAGCACAGAGTCCAACGTGGGGCTCGGACTCACGAGCCACGAGATCATGACCTGAGCTGAAGTGGGATGCTTAACTGACAGAGCCGTCCAGGCGTCCCATACTTTTCTGATACAAAACACCAGAAAGCTCAACCAGAAGTTGATACACATAAAGGTCTACCAAAGAAGAATGTCGTTTATATAATTTATTTTTGTATTTAGAATAAGAATGACTAATTTTTCTTCACATTTGTATTTTAATGTTGACTTCCTCTAAATTATTTTAACCTGAGGGCATATATTGTGTCAACTATTTTAAGATTCTTCTTTCATCTTTTCACTTCTTAATAACCCGGATTTTCCAAAAAGGGATTCAAAAAAATTGATAATAATTCGTAGTGTTGATGCTGTACTCCAAGCGGTGAGCCTGTTCTAAAGGAATGAGTCTCTGTGTCAGTGCTACAATCTATTGCGAAAAGCAGTCTTGAGGTAGCCACTTAATTTCCAACTTTTAGAAAATCCATTTTTCTGTGTACTGAGACAAAAATAGGATGTAACCCAGACGTTCCTAGACTATGACATTTAGAACAGAGCATATTCAAAGTGGAGCTAGCTTTCCACCCATAGTTATTTAAGGAGAAGACACACAGGCCCCACAATATGGGAATCCATCTTCCCATTTGCCTCATAGTTTGCCTTCAACTGGTGGAAATATTCACGGGTTTACAGGATCAGGTTCTTAGTGAGTCCCATCATTTTTGTAATTACTGTGGCTGGTATTAATAAGCGTCTTCTTTTTATATGCGGAAATAAATTAATGGAAGAGGCAGACACTATGCAAAATGGCTGGGAATACGGCCAAATCTTTTTACATACATCCAGGGACCAGTAATTTTCTAAATGGCACTTTAAGCTCTCTCGCCTAAATAATTACAAGTACTGCAGGCATGCAATTTACGGAAATAATTATGCACTCTGCCAGTCGCCATCACCCATCTCAAGCCCACGGCCACTCACCTTGTCTTTATTTTCAGCGCCGGAAGCCTCAGGCTTGGTCCTGATCACAAACGGGGTGGACAGTCGCAGCAGGACCCTCTCGAAGGCGGCACTGACCTTTGGAGACACGATCTCGAAGCAGTCCTCAAACTTGAGCACTTTGTGGGTGTCGCACCGCAGCTGTTTCCGCAGGCCTTCCCCCAGCTGCAGGACGGACATGTGGGCGTCGAACATCAAGTGGAAAGGGAAGGCCCTGCAGAAAGTGCTGATGCTGATTCTGAGGTCCGCAGGGTCTCGGGAGGCTCCCCGGGGGAGGTTCTTTGTGGCGTTAGTATTGTCACATTCTTTGATGAGGAAGGTGAGACAGCTACAGTTGCCCGGGTTGGAGCCATCAGAGCACAGTTTCTCACTGGCCACTTGCTCCACGTCCACATCCAGCCGGTAGATCTTCTTTCCCGCAGCCTTGATCATGCCCAGCATCGCAAAGCCCACGACGTGGTGAGGATGGAAGTAGTGAAGCAGAAGGGCATCTTCTGCGAGCTCCTTGCATAGGAAGGACGGCGACTCCAGCGTGGCCTGTTTCCCAAAAGAAGTTCTAATGTGTTCCAACAGCGCATCGAAGCCGTTAAAAAAGTCCTGCAATGTGCCGCCTACAGCTCGAAGGACTCTCTCATTCTCATCAAAGCATATATTAAAGAACTCCTCACCAAATCTTTCTTGAATTTCCTCAAACTTCAAACCTAGGGGTAAATGGGAAGCAAATGTCAGTCAAGTGCAATAAAATAATTGAATTTATAGCTTTTTAAAAATGCTCATCAAATGAGGTAACTAGTGAGAGAAGCTAGAGAGGTATTTCCCTTGAGCCCACAGATCCCCAAAGAGATTAATTCATTTTGAGTTAGAGAAAGAAAATTTCAATTCATCTTCCGGGGACTTCTAAAATGTTGATGAGCATAAGCTTCCTTGAAACTTTGTTTGTTTGCTTTTGTTTTTAAGTAGGCTTTACTTTTTAGAGAAGTTTGAGATTCACAGCAAAAGTGAGCGGAAAGTACAGATATTTTCCATAGAACCCTCTTCCCGCAAACACACAACCCCTTCCCCCACCCCGACACACACACACACACACACACACACACACACACACACACACACAGTCAGTCATGCACTACAGTGGCCCATCTGTTACAACCAATGAACTACAATGACAAAATGCCATCACTCAGAGTCGGTACTGTACAGTAAGTAGAGTTTGCTCTTGGTGTTGTACGTCCTTGGGCTTGGACAAAGGTCTAAGGGTACGTGTCCACCATTACAGCATCACACAGAGTAGTTTTGTGGCACTAGAAACCCTCCGTGCTCTGCCTGCTCTCCTCAACCCCCTGTAGTACCAACTTTCTAAATGTTGCTAATTTAGATGCTTGCTTTTCTTCTCAATCCCCTACTCCATTTGCCGTAATTAGCACGCAAACAAGATCCTTTTCTTAATGGTTTCCCACATCAATAAAGAAAATTTTTAGAAGCAGCCATCAAATAGTTTCTCTATTGTGCCCATCCACCATTACTATCTGACTTATCACAGTTCTTCTGTTAAGTGGGAAATGTCAACCAGAGAGGGAACTTATGGTACCTGAGCAAAGAAAGTATCAGATTATCAAGTGTCAATAGAAGGAATTTAGACCCCAAGGAGAGAGGGACAAAACAAGAAAATAAAAATGGCAGAACTGTGGACTGGTTTGCATTCTTTCACCCACAAAACTGACAGTAACCGAGAGTCTAGAGTTAAAAGTCTCTGTCTTCCCGGTTCACACTCACTCCCACCTGCGACGGCAAGAGGAACTCTGTCTTATAGTGATGGAGGTATAATGAAAAGCAATTACATACATACACACAGTGCATTATGTAGAAATTAGAACCAGAATCACATGTGATCTACTTAGATACACCCTTAAGGATGATCTGAGGGAAAATATGGAGGAAATTTATGGTCCAGAGAGGAAGGATACACCACCTAAGTATGAGTTCAGTGTGTATGCTAAAGGAAATTTCTATACAGAGCCAGTCTATTGCTTCTCTTTTGACTTTGGCTAAAATCAACACATTTAACTTCATACATTCACATTTTCTTGTCTTGTCTACTCTATCTTCTAAGGAAGTCCTGAAGATAAGGCAGGACCGGGGGGGGGGGGGGAACCCCACAGGTCACTCTGCTAGTGTCCAATTCAAAGACAGAGCCATCTTGGCTGTCTATGGCTTGATTTGCTATCTATTATTACCTTTATTATTCCCTAAGAGTGCTCCCCATGAAGAAATCAGGGAATAAAGCAGAGTCAACACTTCTATTTGAAAAACACACCAAATTTTTTTGAGAGGGTGCTAGAGAGTATAAACGTTGTGACAGTCAAGTGAAGAAGTCAGTTGGGCCAAAAACAAGTTCTTAATATCAACATAAAATGAAAAAAATAAAAAAGAAAAGAAAAAGAAAACCTAAGTGAAAAAGAGTCCTTTTATTAAGAAGAATTTCACATTAATTTTAGTTTTGTAGGTTTGACATTTGAGTCAAGGTGACGAAGCCACCTATCAAGATAAAAGCATGAGCACACATCTTCGTGGTCATGGTACAAGAATTGTCCTCCAACACAGGGGCTGCAATCACAAACTGTAAGGCCAGCCCAACTGATGATAATAGCATTTATTTGTCCAGTTCTCTAGTGTGGAAGAAAAAAGCAAGGTGGATGACACTCACTGTGATTTGGCTTCTGTTCCTACAGCTCTTCTGAAACTACTTTTGCCATTTCTTCAACCAACACTTACTGTTTTATCCCTGCCTTAGTTAACCTGGTTTGTTGTTTTTCTTTTAATTTCACTGTACTGATCATCTCATCCTCCAAAACCTCCCTTCTCTCTCGGCTTCTAAAAACATACCCTCTTGGTTTGATTACTGTCTGTCTGAAAACTCCTTCACTAAAATGTCTGCTGAGACCAAATCCCTGTGTCACCATTGCTATATAACTACAGAGCCCTAATGCAAACTAAAGGTATATCCCTTCAAAGGCCATGTTCTTGGTTGCTATGAAGTTTTTCATTACAAAATTCTAATTAAAATTGAATTCAAAATAAATAAAAATTCCTATAAGCTGACTATACTCCCTGAACTACAGAATTCCATGTGTCACTAAAACACCCCATGAATTGCTTCTATACTTTGAAGAGTTTGATCCTAAAAGGACTCAGAGTCTTTATGCACAGAAAAGAAAAAGAGAATTTCTTCTAACTTGCTTTTTTCATAACATTGCAAACACCCTCAAAGTTATTAACGGCAAAGATTAAACATAATATAGTGAGCTTATGTTCCATTTCCATTGCTAGAATCCCGAAAAATCATCTGGAAAATAACAAGTAAATTGACCAGGAGCACAAAATAAAAACTACTCTGTGAGTACAGCATTCCATCCATTAGGAATCCCTGCTGTCTTACAAAGCCTTTCGGTACTTTAGGGTACAAGGGTTGTTAATCCTCAAATAATGACACCAAGGCCTGCCAGGATACTAGAGCGACTTGTACCAATCTAGAAAAGCTACGGTGTTTTTACTATTACACTCAAAATACTATACATGGTCATTCTAGAGAATCACAATACTCAATTAACTAAGAAAGATTTTGGGGGGCACCTGGGTGGCTCAGTCCGTTAAGGGTCCAACTCTTGATTTTTGGCTCAGGTCATGATCTCATGGTTTGTGGGTTCCAGCCCCACATCAGGCTCTGTTCTGAAAGCATGGAGCCCGCTTGGGATTCTCTCTCTCTCTCTCTCTCTCTCTCTGCCCCTCCCCCACTCGCTCACACTTGCTCTCTTTCTCAAAATAAACATTTTAAAAAATGTTTTATTCATTTTTGAGAGAGAGAGAGAGAGAGAGAGACAGCATGAGCAGGGGAGGGGCAGAGAGAGAGGCAGACACAGAATCTGAAGCAGGCTCCAGGCTCTGAGCTAGCTGTCAGCACAGAGCCCAACGCGGGGCTCAAACCCACCAACTGTGAGATCATGACCTGAGCCGAAGTCAGACACCCAACCGACTGAGCCACTCAGGTGCCCCTCAAAATAAACATTTAAGAAAAAAGACTTTTGTTCTCACAGTTATTAAACTGTGCAGGATCACGAAAGAAAAAAAAAGTCCTTAAAGTTGGCAACAGGTAAAACTCAGGAAAGACCACTGTAACTTTTACAAATAGTTTCATTTTAAACCTTATCTCAAAATTCAGAAAGCACAGAGAAAGCAGTTCAGCTCAGAGAAGTAGTACAGTTCTCACTTCCAATATTCTGCCTACGAAGGTGCAACCTCCCTGCTTAAAGTAAATCACTTGAAACATAGAGACCATGCTCATCTGTTCATATTAAAAGATGCTATGACAGCTTGACCTTTGGGTCTAAAAGAATATGTTCCTGTAGAGGCAAAACTTATAATAAATCTGCTTTCATTAACAAGTAAGTTCAAATTTTAAATTACTGTTGGAGCACCTGGATGGCTCAATCAGTTCAGCACCCAACTTCGGCTCAGGTCATGATCCCACAGTTCATGGGTTTGAGCCCCACATCGGGCTCTGGGCTGAGAGCTCAGAGCCTGGAGCCTGCTTCAGATTCTGTATCTCCTTGTCTCTCTGCCCCTCCCCTGCTCAGGCTCTGTCTCTCAAAAATGAATAAAAATGTTTAAAAAAAATTGAGTTAGTCTTGATTCACCTCTTTAGAAAAATGAATAGCCTAAATGTGACATCCTTTACCTGAAAATGCAATAACCTTTGCCATGAATCTTTATGCTTCATTTGCTAACCATCTGACATCACATCGTGCACTTAAGGACAAAAAGACATTAGCTCGTTTATGTCTGCTTACCCATCACTAGCGTAATGCTGGCTCCTGGAAACAAAGACTTCATTCATAGAACCTAAGCTTTCAGTGTGACTGGGCGGCTCAGCCAGTTAAGCGTCCAACTCTTGATTTTGGCTCAGGTCATGACGTCACAGTTCCTAGGTTCCAACACCGCATAAGGCTGCCAGCACAGACTGCGCTTGGGATTCTCTCTCCCTCTCTTTCTCTGCCCCTCCCCCACTCATGTTCCCTCCCTCCCTCTCTCTCAATCTCTCAAAATCTAAGCTGGGGCACTTGGATGGCTCAGTTGGTTAAGTGGCCAACTTCAGCTCAGGTCATGATCTCACAGTTTGTGGGTTCGAGCCCCGTATAGGGCTCTGTGCTGACAGCTGAGAGCCTGGAGCTGTTTCAGATTCTGTGTCTCCCTCTCTTCTGCCCCTCCTCCACAGACACTCTACCTCTACCTCTCTCCCTCAAATAAATAAAAACATTAAATAAATAAACAAAAATTTAAAAAATATGATATCTGTCCTCCTCTGACTGACTTATTTCATTTTACTGGTGAAAAATGTTAAGAAATTTGCCCACGTTCTCACAACTATAGGTAGTAAAGCTAAGTCTCAAGGTAAAGTCTGTCTGATACCACACCTTGTGAAATAAACACAGTATCGAAAGAGTAAAACATCTGTGCAAGGGGAAAAAATGCACGTCTTGCTCATTGTTATATAATCAATGACTAGCGTTCTGCCTGACATTTAGTAGGTGCTTAATAAGTATTAGCTGGATGTTTAATGAATTAATCACTGAAGTCAACAGAAAGGAGTTATAAGGAGCAGTCAACAGCTATCAAATGTCAACACAAAGTCAATTAAGAGAAGGACAGAAAACTGTAAAATGGATTGGTCAGCACTGTGGGGGCCTTTGACAGCAATTTCAGGGGAAGACTGAGGGCAGACTATGGGTGTAAGGGGTTAAGGAGTGTGTGACAGGTAAAGAAACAAATAGTTTTCAGCTGAATTAATATTATTATTGGAGAGCTAAAATTACTTACTTCATAACACTAACAAATCTTAACTCTATACTTGGAAAAGGAAATACTACCTTCACTGGGAACTAAGTAATTAGAGAGAGATAGCACCAAATACACGGCGTTATACATTTAGGGTCCTGGAATGCCGAGGGGAAGATCTATCAATAAAAGAGTGAAATAAGTAGAGTTTTTTTAGATACAGAGATCATCGTGGTCACCCAGCAAGGGCACTGGTCCCCACTAACATGTAATAACACCAAAGCAGCAAGTGTACCCCTATGTGGCTTAAGTTCCAACTGAGGAGCTGAATACCTACCAGCTACTCACTTCTGTGAGCTACAGACACCCCATAATTATCTTTTAATCATTTAGGCTTCATCGACCTTGCATCTAAGTAATGTAACTCAAGCACAACTATATCTCAAATCCAAACTGTAAAGAAATTTCAGTATTTTAAGGAGATAATGATCATTTTAGAGAAACCATTTTTTCAGCTTTCCTTCCTCTGCTTTTACTGACATGTAACATTGTACAACTTTAAGGTGTACAAAGTGTTCTTTTGATACATTTGTATACTGCAAAATGATTACCCCCATAGTGTTAGCTAACACTTTCATTACGCCACGTAATTACCTTTTGTTTTGTTTTTTTTTTTGGCAGTGAGAATATTTAAGATCTACTCTCTTAACAACATGCAAGTATATAACACATCATTGTTAACAATGATCAGAAAGCTGTTCAACAGATCCAAGAATGTGTTCATCTTCTAACTGGCAGTCTGTACCCTTTGACTAACATCTTCCCAACTCCTCTACCTCCCAGTCCCTGGGAACTACTAATCTATGAGTTTGGCATTTTAAGATTCCAAAAAGAAGTGACAGCATATAGGATTTGTCCAGAAACAATACTTTTATCTAGGAAGACCCTAAGGTTTTTGTCAGTTAGTTTGAAACCCAGATGACACTTTAATAAAAAATATTACTCTAGTGTCTTGCCAACCTACAAAGAAATGACTGAAGTTGCTCTCGCTCTCCCAGGGGAAACTTAACGGTAAATACAATATGTTATATGTCCAAATAAAAACAAAGGAGAAAGGCTCAAAAGAAACGTTACTGGAATTGGAAGGCAGGATGCTCAGTGAAATGAGTCAGTCAGAGAAGAACAGATATCATATGTTTTCACTCCTATGTGAGTCTTGAGAAGCTGAACGGAAGACCATGGGGGAAGGGAAGGGGAAAAAATAGATACAAACAGAGGGAGGGAGGCAAAACACAAGAGACTCTTAAATTCAGAGAACAAGCTAAGGGTGGATGGGGGCGGGGGAGAGGGGAAAACTGGTGATGAGCACTTGTGATGAGCACTGGGTGTTGTGTGTAAGCCAATTTGACACTAAATTATATTCATAAGGAAAAGAAAAAAGAAAAAGAAATGCCACTGCCTGGATTGTAATTTTAAAGTAAAATGTCTTCAATCTGATCTAGCACTACAGTTTTATTTGAATCTCTGTTGGGGGGATATAAAACCTTTGTGGTTTCAGGATAGTCTCTAGTTAAGTAAGTAACAGTATTGGGACAATAGTGAAAAGAAAGATCCTTATCAATCTTGGTCTTAATCTATGAAGAGTTAAACGATGCGTTTCTACTATTTTAGAGGCAAATAATTCTCCTTTTACTGCATTTGTGGCATCTCTGCCCTTCTCCAAAAAACACAACCATGTCACATATTTATTTTTAAATATAGGTGAAACAAAATTAATTAATAGTTTCAAATCTTATGACAAACGTAAAGAAAAGAGAACATACATTCGGATTCTTAAAAAAACAGGATTTCAATATTTTTGAGCTAACAAAGAATTTGCTAACCATAGGGGAACCCTCTAATATATTTAAGATTAATTATTGAATACCCAAAGGAATAGGTATTACCAGAGGCATATTAAGTGCTTCAGGGACATTTGTGATGGTTAGGTTTAAAGTTTTTAATTTTGAGAATATGCTCAGATATGCTTTAAAATATGCATAGGATATAAATTTTAATAGTGAGAAATACGGCATAGTGGAGGTGAAGCCAGCCTCTTTATAGTCTGGGATAGATTTTTCAGCAAGAAACTGCATCTAAAAAGTAGAGCATCCTCTAGAAATGATGAAGTAGAGATTAACTGGGTGTCAAATGCTGTATGACTGGAAATTTTTAATATGGAAGTTAAGTGATAAATCTGTTTTATTTTTAAATGGAGCATCATAAAATTCCCCTCCCGTTTCTTCAGTTGTTCCTCTTTCCTTTCAAACAGCAAAGCCTGTCTGTGCGCCTTTCTTGTAAAACACTAGACATTCCCTTGTATTATACATATTTGTCTGGATTCCTCTGTGGACTCTAGAACAGATTTAGTAGTACAACTCGTGAAAAGCACAACCACTAAAAACAGTGTAATCTAGAATTTAAAAAAAAAAAAAACAATGGAAGGAGAAAAATAAAGAAAAAAGAAAAAAGTTACCCCTGAGCTGTAGAAAATCCTGAGTTCTCAGATGGAAAGGCACAAGTTCCAGCCAGATTTGATAACGGTGCACGCGCGCGCACACACACACACACACACACACACACACTCTAATGCTCTGTCTCACACACACTTACACACACATATGTGATAATATGGATATGGGATAATGACAGATTATCTGCAAATTGATAATCTAAGTGTTAAATAAAAAATTCATGAAATAAAGGGAAAGAGAAACTACTGACTCCTACAAGAAGCATTTTTATCCATAATCTGGAGCTAAGCAATCACAGTAAAATCCAGGAGTTGAGAGGCTGGGAAGGAAGGCATTATCGGCATTCTAAAAGCCCCTTCTCTATGGAATTGGGGTGAGTAGAGACAAAACAGAGTCTTAGTAGGGAAATAAGTAAGAATTTGTTTTAAAACCATGAGAAAACACTTGGGTCTAATATGAGGCAATCAGTAATGGGAAAGCAGAGTAGAACTTTCAAATTATGAAGGTAAAAATTTATGTATATATATTTATTTAAGTTTATTTATTTTGAGAGAGAGCACGCACATCAGTTGGGGAGAGAGAGAGGGAGGGAAGCAGGGAGGGGGAGACGGAGGGGGAGAGGGAGAGTGAGAGAGAAAGAGAGAGAGAGAGAGAGAGAGAGAGAATATCCCTAGTAGGCTCTGTGCTGTCAGCATGGAGCCCAGCACAGGGCTCAAATTCACAAACCATGAGACCACAACCTGAGCCGAAATCAAGAGCACTCAACCTACTGAAGCACCCACACACCCCTGTATATATATTGATTCAACTTGATCAGTACAGAAAAAAAGAAGGGAAAAGGATGGAAAATGATCAGAAATCAAGATGGAAGAAAGAAAACGAAGTGAATTATGCCTTTCTGTAACTGTAAATAAAACATCCCATCAAATGGCAGGAACTCTCTCTCATCTAGAAGAGGGGGAGTTATAAAAAAAAAGATTTAAAAAATAAAATGTGGTCAATAGGCAAAGAATTCCAAGAAGCTACAAGAAAAATAAGCAAGAAGCAGTATTAATATCAAAGAAGGCAGAATTTAAGTTAAAAATGTGAATCAGGATAAAGAGAGACATAACAAAATCACAAAATACAAAGACCTAAACCAATCAACATTGTAGTTAAATACACAAAGCAAAAACAATTAGAAATTATTTGCTAATGGATACATTTTTTAATGTATTTACATTTAATGTAAATACATTCTAAAATTGATTTAGTGACAGTTGTACAACCTTGAATATACTAAAAGCCCTGAAGAGTACACTTTAAATGGGCATGTTTAAGTTATAAGATACGTGAACTATTTTCAGTAAAGCTCTTATATATTTAAAAATTAAGAATGAAAGAACCCTATGCAATTATTATGAGAAACTTTAATACACATCTCTCAGGATCATATAGATCTAATAGAGAGAAAAGCAAAATCATAGAGAAATTACCTAAACACATAAACAACATAACAATAAATAAACTTAATAAAAATAAAATTATAGTGGAAAACTTTAATGTGTTTTTCAGAACCAAACAGATCAAAGATTAAAAAAGCAAAGTCATTGATTAAATACATATCAACAATAAAAAACAAAAATTGATCACAAAGGTCAGAGGAAAATGAAATTAAAATAACACAAGCAAAAGTCCAAACACATATATGCATAAACACACACACACACACACATGTGCATATAAATACATATGTGTGTACATGTGTGTATATATATATATATTTGCATGTACTTTCATATATGTGTTTGCATACATAGGAAAAATTAAAATATTCCTCAAATACTTGGCCAGAAAATTCCCATAATATATTTTTAAGTAAAGATTTTACAGATCACATTTTCTAATAGTAACAAAAATAATAAATATTTATAAATAACAAAAAGATAAGCAAAAGTCCTATCTATTTAGAAGTTGAGTAATACTCTCTTGAATTAAAGAGAAAATCAAAATTGGAATTATAACTTCTAGAAATCAATGAAGACTACCTCGTACAAATCCTGAGGCAAGGCAAAACTGTACCCAAAATAGGGGCGCCTGGGTGGCTTAGTCGGTTAAGCGTCCGACTTTCCCTCAGGTCATGATCTCACGGTTCGTGGGTTCGGGCCCCGCGTCGGGCTCTGTGCTGACTGCCAGCTCGGAGCCTGGAGTCTATTTCAGAGTCTGTGTCTCCCTCTCTCTCTGACCCTCCCCTGCTCACGCTGTCTCTCTCTCTCTCCTACAAATAAATAAAAATATTTAAAAAAAAAAACCTGTACCCAAAATAATGTAATCAATGTTTCCAGCAAAAAGTAAGCAAATAAAAACTTAAAAGTTAAGAAAACTGTGTTGAGATTTTTTTTTATTTTACTTATTTATTTAGTTTTTTAAGTTTATTTATTTTTGAAGTAGACAGAACACAAGCTGGGGAGGGGCAGAGAGAGAGAGAGAGAGAGAGAGAGAGAGAGAGAGAGAGAGAATCCCAAGCAGGCTCTAGGCTCCAAGCTGTCAGCACAGACCCAACATGGGGCTTGAGCTCACAAGCTATGAGATCATGACTTGGGCCAAAGTCAACTACTTAACCAAATGAGCCACCCAGGTGCCCCAAGCTTTTTAAAAAACAAGTAATAGGTAAAAGTTGAAATTAAGAGAAAAGGTATACTAAATTAGGAATGAGAAAGACATAGGCACATATTAAGAAGAAATAGAGGAATCAAAAAAATTGCAATGTCTTCCACCAAATGTGTAAATGCAATGTCAAATAGATAATTTTATGGCAAAATAGAAATAACTCAAATTCACCAAGAAATGGGCAATCTGACCTCTGAGTAGTCTTTAAAATAAATAATTCCAGTTATTTCAATATTTCCAGGCCTTCAAAAAATATTAAAACCACCCAGTTAGTTTTATTAAGACTACGTAACTTTAATGCCAGAAGTTGACAGAGTATACTAAAACCAATTTCTCTTACGAATATATACTAAAAGTGTAGCAAACTGAATCTATAAATTTATAGGAAACATTCTGACCAAATACTATTTGTATCAGACAGAAAAAGGTAGATCAATAGTAGAAAACCTATCATCACATTCATAAAATTAAGTGAGAAAATAATAAGATTCTATTAGTGGTTTCTGGTAATTATGAAACTTAATTGTCTTAATAAAATTTGGAATAAAATCAGGATATAAAGAAAGTGCTCAAATATAATTAAATGCTACTTCCCAAAACCCAGAAGCAAAACTTTTCTTTAAAGGATAAAACACTAAAGACATTTGGACTAAGATCAGAGATTGGATGAGTGTGCTAGTTATAGCCATTGTTATTCAAGATTAGGTTGGGGTTTCTTGCACATGCGACGAGATACTGGGTATAAACACTGGGAAGAAGAGTAAAATTATCTTTTCTCTAATGAAGAACACTGTACATTTAGAAAACCTAGAAAGTATTCTGATTGGAGCCTCTTCCTTGCTAACTAGCTTTCTTTACACATACATTTTATAGAAAAAAATGACTAGAATTTTAAGACTGTGCTAAAGTAGCTGAATATAAAATAACAGCTTTCTCTATATTAGCAATAAGTATCTAGAAGTAGACATGGGAAAGTATTCTAAGTAGAAATAAAAAATTGTAAAGTCACATATTTAATGAGAAAGGCATAGAACTTACACTAAGAAAAGTTTAACATCTTAACATGGCAAACAGAACCTAACGAATGGAAAAATATTCTTTATTTTAGAATATAAAGACCTCCTATTATAAAACTATCAATTCTCCCAAAATTAATGTAGAAGTTTAATGCATTTCCAGTTATAGTCTCAACAAGGCTTCTTGCCAGTATAGGAACTTTAAGATTCCTATGTATGAATAAGTGTCTAGAATGGCCCCAGAATGCTTGAATAGGAACATTGGGGAACAACCAGATACTCGAATAAATGAAAAAGACTACAATTAAATTGCTATTTCCATAGGAACAGAGAGATCGCTGAGTCAGAATAGAGAAATCTGAAGTAAATCTGTGTCTATGAGAAGTTTTAATGCAGCACAAAATAGTATTTTTTAAAAGTTTTTTAGTATTTATTTTTGAGAGACAGAGTGACAGAGTACGAGCAGGGAAGGGTCAGAGAGAGGGAGACACAGAATCCAAAGCAGGTTCCAGGCTCTGAGCTGTCAGCACAGAGCCCGACACGGGGCTCAAACTCAAGAACTGTGAGATCATGATCTGAGCTGAAGTCGGACACTTAACTGACTGAGCCACCCAGGTGCCCCACAAAATAGTATTTTAATTCAATGGGGGAAAAGAATGTTTTACCTAATGAATGGCACTAGCCGTGTGGAAAACAAAATTAAATCCCATCTCAGATCACACACAAAATCAAATTTTAGACCAATTAGAAGCTCGAAATGTAAAAGACAAAACAATAAATATTGTAGAAGAAAATCTAGGAGAGTATACGTATCTCTTAAACAAAAATGGCAAATCAACAGAGAAAAAGATGTTAAGACATATTTGAGTTTGTAAGAGATAAAGCTAAATTTAAATAAATAAAATAAATAAATAAAAATTCAAAAAATAAAATACAACTGTCAGAATAATGTATATAGTACAATTTTATTTTCATAAATATTTAGGTGTGTGTGCATGTGTGCATGTGCACACTATACCTCCTACAGTCTGCCCGTCTCTGTCTTAAATATCACTTTGTTTGGGTCGCCATGCCTCAAGAATCTAGAATTATTTCAACAGCCTCCTAACTAACTTTTCTGCTTTACAGTC